TATATATATATATAGGAACTCCTACAGAGCAGCAGAGAACACAAATGCCAGAAGAGGGAAGGAGAATTAGTGTCCAACCCAGGCTGGACAAGTCTAAGGACTGGGGAAGCCACTCAGCCAGCCCAGGAGGGGCCTTATCGCACCCCAGATGGCCCAGGGCCCACCACGCTGCTGTGCAGCCAGCAGAGGGGTCACCTCTGTGAAAGGTGATATGACAGTGACTATTCAGTACCCAAATGTCCCCCACCCCACAAGGCACAGCTGTGCCTTGTGTGCAGAAGGAAACAAACCCTGAACACTAGCACAGCTGTGCTGAGGACAAGACAGAACCCCACAGGCACAGGGACTCTGAGAACACAGAGAAACTGTGGCATGAGGAACGCATGCTGAGGAATGGTGGGTAAAAGCACCCCACAACTGCTGTGCCCATCCTTTCTAGCTTGTTGAGGGGTGCAAAGCTCCCCAGGGGTGAGCTTGGGAGGGAGAGGGGGTCACCTGGGTCAGAATCTGCACTGGGCAACACCAGTCACTACCACCTGTCTGTGCCCCTTATAGAATGGGGACACGGTGGTCCACCAACAAGGATCTCACATCACCATGACAGCGGTCACGGGCCTGGGGCTTCCTGGGAGGGCTGTGGGGGAAGAATGTGTGCAAATGTCACTTGGGTCAATAAAACCATCCAGGTGATCACACCTGGGCCTGAAGGCAGGACGTGTCAGAGGTGGGCTGGGGACACAGGGAACCCCACATCCTTTGGCCCCACGGGGCCGAGCAAAGCTGAGGGATCACCCCTGACTCTAAGGCAGGGATTCTCACCCCCGGCTGGTGCTAGAACCCGAGGTGGTGCTAGAGGCCTGGCTCCATCACAATGAACGAGAGGCCACAGTGTGGAGTGAGAACCCATGAAGTGGGGTGCAGTGCTTGGAGCCCCTTATGAGGGCTGGGTGGGAGCTCTGGGGTCGGCTGTCTGAACTGACAATACCACTGTGTGAGGTCACTCATCCTCCGGGCACCAGCAGGGGCGTCTGGCCCCTCAGCTTGCAAAGATTCTGACAGTGTCACCAGCTGGGTCGGGCTGGAACAAAGAGGGTCCAGGCCGTCTGGACCACCACCTGGCTGGGAGATGGCAGCCCTCCTCCCGGCACAGGCCACCTGGAGAGCTCTCCAGGAGCTGTGAGGCCCAACCCAGGCCTGTGCGGGAGGCCTCGGAAAAGTTAGTTGTGGCCTCCACTGCCCCCTCCCTTAAGTGGGGCGAACAGCACCTGCCTGATGGGGATTAAATGGGCGTTAAAAATAGAAGAATGCATTTGCTTCACAGGGCCGCCGGCGGGAACCCGGTCAAACCCCTCAAAGCGCTGTTTGGGGTCCCTGAGTGGTACTTAAGCTACAGCAGCATCCTGTGAGAACGCACCGGCTGACCGACCTCGGGAGTTCCTGATTAGTGGGTTCTGCTCCATCAGGGGCTGCAGAAGCTGCATGGGCAGCAGTCACAGCGGGAAAGGAGTGTGTGGGGGGTGCGCCCCCAGCCCGGCCCCCGCTCTGCTCCAGGCCCCCTCTAGGATCACACTATCGTCTGTGCAACCCACTCTGGCACCTCTCAGAAACCACCCGCATGGTTCACCTCGTCTTCCGTGCACCCCGCCCCGGCATCCCGCGCCCCGCCCAGAGGGCTGCGCTTACCCGATTCCCCGCCGGGCCGGCGGCCGCTGCTCCGGACAGCCAAGGACCGCGCGGCCTGGAGGCCTGGCGGAGGAAGCGGGAAGGGCCGGGCAGCCCCGCCCTGCCCGGCCCTCGGGCACCGCCCCTAGGCCGCGCGAACCCGGGCACCCACCAACGCGGGGGGCGGGGCCGTCCTGGGGGCGGGGACCCGCGCAGCCCGCCCCGCCAAGCCCTCCCCGACGCCGGGTGGCCGCGCACACCCCACGCGCGTCCCAAGCGCCTGGGCAGTGTGGAGGGGAGGTCCGCGAGGCTCGTGGCCGCCAGCCCCCCTCTCCCTGGAGGACCCCGAAAACTCAGCCTTTCCTGAGCGTGCCCAGCGCCCGCGTCCTTCGTTACAGCAAATGCTGGTCTCGGCCTTAGCTGGGTGGGGTGACTGCTGCTGAGCCCTGGTTTACCGAGAAAGGGCCTGGGAGGAAGGCCGGTGAGGAGGGCGCGCGAAGGCCAGGCATCCCCGAGGCACAGACGCCCCACCCACCATCAGACCCAGAATTAATGTTTTGCTGGGGAAATGTTCCGACATAGGGAAATAGGACAGCCCATGACCCCGTTTTCCCATGGGCTGTCTTTAGCCTTCTCTCCCCCGCACATGGGTAGCCCCCAAATACACTGAAGCGCACGCGCGCACACACACACCTTTCATCTTTTTTTTTCCCCCCCCGGAATAACTTCCAAGCATCCGACAGACATTTAATAGTTGTGTTTGTATAACTCAGGCTGATGAGGTCTGTTTTGCTGGCTTCCACCCCCCAACTCCCCAACCCATCCCGGCCACCCCACCAACATTCCGGAATACCTGTGCATGGCTCCCAGATTGGATTTCTGGAGTGAAGGGGCCAGCCCAAGAATGATCCCGAAGTGTCTTTGGCACTCAGGCCCTCCATCACTTCCCACAATCTCACCTGCCCCTGGCCTGCCCTCAGCCTCCTGCCCAGCCCTCCCCCTCCCCACCCCCCACAGACACAGATGCTGCTCTGCTCAGCGGTGGATTCTGCTTGGGACTTCCTCCAGAAATGTCAAACCTTGGCCTCCTTTCTGAAGTCCCTCAGCACCGCTGAACCGCATGACGGTGCTATATTAGCATGACATTTCTGCCTGTCAGGCTGTGACTTCCCCCAGGGAAGGGATCTGCTCATCTGTGGATCCCCAGTAAGTCACAGACAGAACAGACCAGACCAGACAGTGCTTTAGGAGGTCCCTGGAGCCCACGGTGACCTTGAGACTAGGGTTCAAGTGCAAATCAAGCCCTTTATTTGCAAGGGCCTGTTCTGGAGGAACACAAAGGCCAGGGCTGTCTACCAAGAAGGTGGCCCCACTGCAGTAAGCCAGAAGGGCACTCTGCAGGCTGGGGTGTTCTCATACCTCCCTGTGCCCCGTTACCAAACTTGTGCCTTCCTCATCTTCCTGGGAATCACTTTCCTTCCCTCTGGAGCCCCAGACCCTACCCTATCTCCTTAGTCCAGGAAGACACTTACACCTCATTTTGCCAGAATATCTTTGGGCTCCTTATGTCTGTGTGGGCCTCCCACATACACAATGAAATTTGCTTTTTCTCCTGTTAATTTCACTTCATATCCATTTAATTACTTTCCAGCTGAAGAACCTGGAAAGGCAGATGAACATGGTTTCCTCCCCAACAGTAAGTGCTTAAGGAGAGATGCTATAGATGGTGTTTCAGGAGGAAGATGACTGTGCTGTGCATTAGCTCTTCTTAGATATTAAACTTACAGTAGCAAGTTTACATGTAACATTTTAAGGAATGAAAGGGGGCCCTCACAGGCCCCCTTTGGCATGCTGCCCATTGGGGTCTGGGTTCGTGCCCAGCACACTAGCCAGCCCACCTATGCTGCAAGAATTCCCCATATCTCCTGCCAGATCAGAGACCCCCTGATGGAAGGAGGGACCCAGGGCCTGGTCAAGGTGGAACAGGGCTGCAGGAGCTCTCTGGACCCAGGGCCCAGACCACCACCTCAGTGCGTCCTGGCTCAGAACTGCCAGGAAGAAAGGATAATGCCACCACTCAGAACCCTCCTGCAATGTGCAAAACCTTGAACACCAGCACCAGTGTTCATGTGGGAAGGAAAGAAAGCCTTGCATTTATGAAAGCTTTCCAACACATGTCCCCACTGCGAGTCACAGCACGTCACCACAGAAGGGGCAGGCAGAGTGGACTCTACCAGCCCCTTTTCCTGGCTTGCCCACCAGGGAGTGTCTGGCAGTGCTGGACTTTGAAGGTCAAGGAAACCCTGCTTTGGTATGAGGCCCCCCTGCTACCGAGCTGGGAGTTTTCTCCACCCCCAAATTGCTTACCAGCCAGAAATGGACTTCTCTGTTAGGGCATGTGTGGCTGGACTCTGGCTCCTGGAGGGACATGGACTCCGGCTTATTCTTCATTGAAGCTGCTGGTCTCCCTGGAGGTAGGAATGTTCTCTTCCAGGACACAGCCCAGCCCAGGGCTTCAGGAGGGAACAGCCCCTCAAAAGATGAGTATTCTGGTGCTCCCTGCCCCTGGGGGCAGCACTGGGCTGCTGAGAACACATCCCAGAATCCCAGGCCTCCAAGGGCCTAAGGTAACTGAGCCTACACTAAAAATACTCACGCTACTTTTGCTGACTTTGAAGAGCAGCTGGCAAAAAGGAAGCAACCTGGGATAGCTAGTCACCAGGCACTGGAGCCTCGGAAAGCCTATCTCCCCATCCAGAAAATGCAGCTTTTTCTCTCCCTCCCAAAAGAGGCCTGGGCCACTTCCATGCTGGTGGGGAGTGGGGCAGCGATGGGGCCAAGGACAGGTTGTCCCAGTGCCACAGAAAGAATGAGAAAGTCTTCCATCTTTTTCTATGCTCTGGAACACAGGCGAGAAAATTATCTGCTTCATAACACTAATAGGGAACTCTCTCCGGGTCAGAGCTGAGAGCCTTTCATTGGGGTGAGTGGTTTATTCCACCCACTGGTCTGGGCACTTAGAGACTAAACTTCTGGCCTTGGCGTGGGTGGGCACTCTGGCCAGTGTGGACGGTGGGTTGGAGATAGAAACAGACTGGCACTGCCAGTAAAGAGTGTCTCAGCGATGGAAGAAGCCCCCCACCCCCCCCCAAATAAGACAACCCATGGTGGGCATGCAGTGTCAAAGAGAAAAGTCTCTGAGTTTGTAAGCTCCCAATCCGGAACGGTTTAAGAGGTCACCCTTTTGAGGCTTTTCCACATTTATCCAAAAGTTAGTGAATTCGGTCAGGTTCTTGACTATGTGAAACAATCTACTTTTTTTTTTCCCCCTAGAAGATGACCCATTGCAGAGAATTTAGCTCTAGTCAGGAGGTCAGTGATTATCTGATGAGACCCATTCCTGTCCTCGGCACTGCCGGGCAAGGCAAACAGATGGTGTGGTCTCTTTTTATCCTTTTTTTCCAAGAGGCACTCCATTCTAATTTTTCAATGAACAAATAAAATTTCAGTGTAAACTAGGCCCAGAAAAGGAGCTAATCCACTCCTCAGAACATACTGAGGCTAGTGTCTCTCTCCTTGTTGAGTGCTGGGTGTTTTCAAAACACCGCCACTTTTCACAGCTGAGGGGACTGAGGCACAGAAAAAGTCAGCAATTCACGTAAGGCCAGGAAGAGGCATGTTCAGCAGCAGGAACATTCCTAGTCATTTTAGGTGTCTTCCACACACCAAACTCTGAGGGAATTGCTCTGCTATCGGCCTGCATCATGTGAGCATTTCAAGTCTATAGGGAGATGTGGGTCCTCAGGTTTTAAATATGTTATTGTTAAACTCCTTCCCCTCTGGAATACAGTTCATAGGTTACTTCACTCCTGGCCCCACTCTGCAGCCCCATGTGATCACACCATGGCTGTGATCACTGGTGCCACCTGGCTGCCCTCAGAGGTTGGAGGGCAGATGCCCAAAGTGCCAAGCGCCTTCACATTCTCTTGGGGAAGCAGCATTTTGGCAGGATGACTGATGTACATGCAGGATGACTGACGTACACACAGGACGACTGACGCGCACACAGGATGACTGTTGTACACGCAGAATGACTGACATACACACAGGATTACTGACACACACGCAGGATGACTTACATACAAGCAGTCCAAACAAGACCTCCACGTTTGCATGACCGGATGTTCTCGTAACATTGTTCCTGCGTTCTGCTCTGTCTGTGTCCTTTTGGCTTCGAACCTCCTCCTCTTTGGATTTGCCCAAAGGGGACCAGTCAAGGGCAAGAGGAACGAACAGTGGGGAATTACTGACTTTGGAGGGGAAAGGAAGGGGACCTGTACCACACACTCTGGAGACTGTGGGTGCTCTGCTGAGGGTCCCCATCCTCTCCTTCCCCCAGAGCAGGCGGCATTCTCTGCTCACTCCCCCACCATGTCAGAGGTCTCTACTTCACAGGACAATCAGTGACATCATTTGATCCTGAACAACCTCAGAGGCCCCTCTATACCACATCAAGACATATCTTCTTCAAAGAGGCAGGGCTGTCTCTGATGATGCTTCTGCACATTACATTTCCCTTGGTGAATCGAATCAAACAGAACTAGTCTGGCCCCAGCATCCGGGCTCTCCACACCCCCACACCCCGGGGTGCCCCAGCCCTACAGAATGCTCCTGCAGGTTGTTTTAAGCAGACGCCCCGCCTCCCTTGGGGCAGATGTCCAAGCCCTGCCACCCCCTGTAAAATCGCATGGAGAGTGCTCAACACATCATAAAACATTTTCCTGGAGAACTCCTAAGATGGCTTTTTATGTTGACCTCAGCAAAACTGGCCTGTTCTATCCTACGGATGCTCTGAATTAGGTCACTGGCAGCTTCCCGGGTCTCAGCACTAGAAAGCTCTGAGTTAGCTTGTGGGCCAGCTGCACTCCTTCTTTCTCCTTCTTCCCCATTCTTCTTTGCCCCCATTTGCTTATGCATGTTTTTATTTCATTTAATATAGTTTGAAATGGCCTCAAACTCCTCTGCTAGCACAGTGAGAAAGAAATGCATTTTTGAAATACCCAGGAGAGTGGTGAAACTTTAGTTCTCCAGACCGGTGAGTCACCACTACTGATATGCATTTTCTTGAGCGGGGTGTGTGGCTTTTCCATCAAGCTGTCTGTTCTCCTCCCCAGCCACCATCTTAGCTGCAGGCCTGGGCAGCACCAGCACCAAGTCCTGGGGCCGCTTCCTGCCCAAGGCGGGGAGAGGGAGAGTGACAACATGGCGTAGCTTTAAAGGAGGGCAACTGTTGCCTCTGCTCACATTATTTCTGCTGCTTTTGGTTCCATGACCAAAGACTGGACGCTCTTTCCTTGGGGCCGCCCTATGTCCAGGTAAAATTTGAGATCCTGTGACTTAAGACAACAAGGGAATAAAGAAAAGGAAATGGGAGATGACTGAGAGTCTCCTGCATCCTTGTGAGATGACAGACATGTGGGCTGGCCTCTGCTGTGACTCCTGGCACAGGCCCCTGAAGTCCGTGTAAGTTCCTGAGGGGTAAGACACTGGGGCGGGGTGGGGGGGGGCATCTCTGTTCTAATGAGGAACTTGGGGTAGACTCCTGGATGGCTTCTAGTGGAGGACCAAGACATGATTAGAAGCCTGGAATTGTCCACCTCACACTCTCATTTTCCAGGGAGATGAGAAGGGTTGGAGCTGGAGGAACTCAAGCCTACAGAGACAAGCCTCCATCCAAGTTACAGGGTTGGAGAGCTCAGTTGGCGAACACATCCCTGTGCCAGGAGGGTGACGCCCCCCCCCCACGCCATAGGACAGAGGCTTCTGTGCTGGGGTCCCCCCCTGTGCCAGAGGCTGCACCTGGCTGTTCATCATATGCTTGATCATATCTGCTAGTTCTGTGAGCTGCTCCAGCCACATCATGGAGCCGGAGGGGGCGTTGAGCCTCCAGTTTGTTGCTGAGTTGGGTACGGCTGTTTGTGACTGGGGCCTCCATGTGATTGGCATCTGTGGTACAGAGGGAGCAGTCTTGTGGGACTGAATCCTTAACCTGTGGAGACTACACTCACCCCACCGGTGTCACTGGGAATCACTTGTTGTGGAAAAAAACCATGTGTGGTGACCAGAAGTGTTACACAGTGAAGTGTTTTCTGTGCAGGTGAAGCGGAGAACACAGAGGAGGGGAAAGCTGCGTGGTTCTCCTCACATACTTGGGACTCATCCGCTCTCTCAGAGTCGCTGTGTGGAGGCAGCTTTTCCCAGGGGCAGGGGTCCTCTGAGGGCGGTGGGCTGCCACCAGCCAGCACGGGGCATGGCCAACTGGACACCTTTGGAGCATCCAAAAGCTGAGGTGAGGTGACAGGCACATTTCTTCCCTTCTGTGGGCAGCAAGACTTAAGACTGGATGCTCTAGGGCTGTGGCAGTCGGCGTTGCTGGCTCTCTGGCAGCTAAGTTCTCGTGAGAAGCTGGCATCCCCACATCCACTTCAGAGCTTGCTTCCTGAGGCTGGAGCTGATGTGCACCCACAGCTCACTCCTGTCTACCCCCAACCTGACTCCCCCGTGGGTGGGGAACTTGACTCGTGCTGGGACTTGCAGGATTGCCAGGGTAACCACAGAAGGGAGAGAAGGACAAGGGGTGTCAGCCACTGCTGGTCGGAACCTTTATTTGCCCTTTATTCTCCCCCAGCCAGGGCGGCTTTAACTGGACGGGCACGGAACAGGGTGCCCAGCTCCACTGGCCCACAGAAGACGGTCAGGTCGAGCAAGGAAAGGACACACGGTGGAGACGAGGCTTCCTCTCGGGCCTCTCTTCAGTACTCAAAAGTAACAGTCTTGACTCGCAGGTACTCGTTCAGGGCGGCCTCTCCTGTAAGACCACACACACCGCACCTTCGGGACACGGTGTCGCCATCATGGTTCCTGCCTCAGCCCTGCTCCAGGCCCTGCCCTAGTATTACCTCACCAGACCCCTGCACAACCACGTGGGCCCTGAGTCAGGCCGTTACAGGTGAGAAACGGACGGCTCGCGAGGGAGCTTATGTGTGTGCAGGTGGTGTGCACGAGTGTGTGTTGTGGGCAGGCAGGCATCCAGCAGCAATACAGGGGCCACTGTTTCAGAAACTTCCACCACCCCCCACTCCCGACAACCACCTCCTTGCAGGGAGCACAGCCTCATCAGCCCCAGGCTCTCCTACTGCCCTTCTGATAACCATGTGCCACCTTGGCTCTCCCCATTGAATTGCTGCCCCCCAGCTAATTGCAGCTCACACTGCACTGTGAGAAGGGGCCCGGGACATGGCTGAGCTCTGCGCTAGGTGTCTCAGCCTATGGGTGCCGGACAGACCCCGCCCCACCCTGACTCGTGAACAGTGGCCCCCCGGGGCCTCACTACAGCAGCTGGGGTCTCTGTGCCAGGTGAGCTGAGAGGACTCTAATTTGTGGGTCCTCTCTGTGCAGGACCCAGGGCCGGAGAATGGGAGGAGCTGCAGGATCACCAGGCAGATGCAGCAAGCAACAGAGCCCAAACCCTGCGGGGTGACACACCCCCACCCCATATCTTCACAGACGCCCCTGGCCCTGGCACAGGCCCTCGCCCAGTGGCTGCTAATGGATGTCTAGGACTCAGTTACCCAGGTCTTTGCCGAATCCCGACTGCTTGAACCCGCCAAAGGGGGCGGCCACGTCAGTCTTGTTGTACGTGTTGATGAACACGGTGCCTGCTTCCAGCTTATCGCTGACGTACAGGGCCTTGCTGAGGTCCCTGGTGAAGACGCCAGAGGCCAGGCCGAATTCCGTGGCATTGGCTCGAGACAGCACCATGTCCACGTCACTGCAGGGGAAATCCGGGAAGAACCCCATGAGGGAGGGTCAGGCGCACAGCCAGTGCCAAGGAGACAGGCAGCAGCGAGAAGAGTGAGGAAGGAGAAGGAATCGGGGTGAAGTCACATTCGCACGCGGCTGACCACGGGCTTCCGGTCATCACTTTATGGACCCGGGGGTGCTTCCCAGGGGGGCAGATGGGGCCCCTACACATACAGGGACAGGCACAGCGCCGGGCACTCCCCTGGTGTGGAGGCCGGGCACAAGGCGTACTTGGAAAGTCGCAGAAAAATGTCCTATTCTAACGAAGTCAGCCTATGACAATTTTGTTTTTTTAACAGTGAGTTGTATAGTGTTTTGAGGGTGAGGGGCGTCTTGCAATCGGCTTTAAGGTCCTCTCGTGGAAACTAAGTCGTGGAGAGAGCTTGCAGCCCACTCGGGGCCACTCTGGCGCCCCGCGGGAGTTCCCGAAGTGGCTCAGAGCAGAGGCCGCTCAGCCCCAGGGAACCGTGATTACAGTGAAATAACCACCGCAGCTATTCCCAGCCGCTGAGTTTCGGGGCAGTTTGTCAGAACAGAGCCCCGCATACTGAGGGAGACAGCCAGAGTGACGTGCGGGACACTGGGGCAGGACAGAAGCTCCACCCGCCCCGGCTCACCTCCCCTCAGTGGTTGACAGGTGTGTCCTCAGCCCCCACTCTGAGTTCTTCTTCTGGCGCCTGCTCCCCACCCCACTGGGCTCACGCAAAGACCCCAGGAAGTCCAGGAAAGAAGCAGGTCCTCAAGACAGAGCGGACTCGACTCCCTACCCATCAGCAAAGCGAGAGATGATCATGACCGGCCCGAAGGACTCCTCCTTGGCTATGAACATGTGGTCCTCCACGTCTGTGAAAACGGTTGGCTCGAAGAAGAAACCTGCAGGGGAGATATTGCCCCGGGCAGGTGGGTCCCGCTGGCCCCACGTCCCACTAGAGCACCGTGATTCTCGCCACCTATGGGGTAGACACCATGTCAGGTGAAGGGTGCCTGTGTTGACTGTGATTCTGTGTGCGTCTCACAGCCCTTCCGGTGAAGCACTGCTGAGGACAGCATGCAGTCCTTGCTTGAGCTCCTGCTCCTTGCACTCAGATGACTTGATCGATAGATGATTCCAGAAAGGTGGGGGAGGGGAGGTGGCTGTCTGGGGTTAGAAGGACTGGGACCCTGTGATGATGTGATGAGTTGGTACTCTCTGGGAGCCAGACCGA